CCATCCCCCTACAACAGGAGCAGAGGTGACAGTGCTTGCTCTCGACACCACAGCCTGTCATTTTTAGCATGTAAGGCCCAAAGAAGCCTTACGCAGTAGTTTTCTCTGCTGAACAGAAACAGAAGTCCCACTTCCACCCCTACTACAGGCAACGGCAAGACAGCAGGATCAAGCCTCAGTTGAGCTAATCAAATGCATCATTTTAAACGTGATTTTCCTCTGCTCCTTTCACTTTAAGCCCCTGTACTCCAGTGCTCATAGCAACATGCAGTATTTGAAAGCAGCGCTATGCAACACCACCGTAGGAGGTCTTTTAATAATGTCATTATCCACCACCCATCCTTCATGCAGAGCTCCTACTTCCTTGTAATTCCCATCCTCCTGGGGGCGACGGCATTGCTCTGCTAGGTAGCAGCTGCCAGGATGCAGGCAATGGATCCCAGCAGAAGCTGGGGGGTGAGGCCAGCGTGCAGGAAGGAGCAGGGCTCGGCTGCCCCTGGGAACACAACACCACAGAGCCTGCCTGTTCCCCCTGCACAGCTGTACCCAACCCAGCACCTTGCAGCTGACAGGTTTTGCTGTTGCAAGGTTTGTTGTGGTGTGCTGTTATTGCAGAGCCCAGTATTCAACTCTTAGGAAAGAGAAAGGCAGAGAGCAAAGGGAAACAAAATGTGTTTGGGGCATTGCACAACAAGGCTGTAACTTGGATGATGCTGAAAAGGCCCAGAGAAAGCCGGTAATGAAGCACCGGAGGAAACAGGAGAACTCTGCTCTCAGTGCAGCAAAAGGGAAGCTTTTGCTAGCTCAAGGACCAGGGTCCGCCTTTAGGGAAAACTTTTTTTTAAAAGGGTTGTGGCTCACATGTCTTCTTGCTCTCCACACACACCTGTGCATCCCTGTTATTACACTGAAAGACATATGCTCTGCAAGACAGGATGTCTATGATGGAGAAATCCTCTTCCGTGCTACCACTTCAAAGAGGTCAACAACTGCATTATGCTACCTGCAGTCCGTGAGCAACCAAACCTCAGGCACGCCAGGGAGAGGGGACCTGCAGGAACAAACATCAGTGACAGTCTTATCCTCTGAAGAAGGGGATATACAGTGATGACTCCTTCAGCCACTGCTAGCTTTCCAGAAGATGAAAAACAAGCAAGACAAGTTTCTGCATTGGTGAGAGGTTCTGAGGCATAGCTAGAGGAGCTCTGGTGTCGGAGAAATCACAGTCTGAGGGCCAGGAGCTCCCCGCTTTGAACAGATCCTTGAGAGAGGGCTGCGAGGACAAGAAGGGAAAGAAACATTGCCATCAAGGAAAGGTGCTCTAAGTATGATGTACATCAGTTACATATGCTGGTGGTGCATGTATACTGGCATCCATAGCAGAAGCCCTCAAGTTCAAAGGGCTGTGAGTCACTACAGAGCAAGTAACGCACTCCGGCAATGCTACACCTTGTTGTCCCTGTCACACACATCCGGAGTAGCAGAAGTCACCAGCAAGCTGCAAGCTGGGCATGACTGAGCTACAGCAGCCCTTTTAGTCAGTCCCTCACCTCAGTCAAAGACCCTTCAAGGCCCACCCAAATAAAACAGCTGTCAGGGATGGACGTAAAGAAGAGAGAGGGAGGGAGGACGTAAAGAAGAGAGAGGGAGGGAGGACGTAAAGAAGAGAGAGGGAGGGAGGACGTAAAGAAGAGAGAGGGAGGGAGGGAGAGAGGGAAGGGCAAGAGGTTTCACATCTTATTTACAGCTTTGAAGGCATCCCAATGAAATGCCTGCCTGCTCGTCATACTGCAAATGGTGTTTGCTTCCTCCCCAGTCCCAGGTGGGTTCCAGCTTGTCCTTAAATGCTAGATGCAGTACATGTATGTCTGTGCAGGGAATACGCAGGGTGAAGAGTGCAGAAGCACAACTGTCAAGCACAGTAAGATCAGCGCTCTGTGCATGAAGCGGGAGAACATAACATATATTGAGAGCACTGCCGGCTTCAGTATCATATAAGCCGTGAGAAATAACTGCGTTATTTCTCCTGAAAACCACAAAGCTCCCTGTAGTAAACACACTGCGTACGTGTGTGACAAAGCTTCTTGGGCTGAGAAAACCCCAATGAGGTGGAGTGGGAGTTAGTTATTTGTTGTCAAAGAGATGCCTGTTTTCGCCAACTCACTCTGGCTCAAAAGCAGACACTCTGCCAGCAAGCAGCACACTGCTACTGGGGAGCAGAGAGCAATCCCCTCACACCCAGCACACCTACTTGCCCTAAGCAAATCGCTCCATGCGTCGCAAAGGGCTCCTGCTCCCACCCATCCTTCTTGCCCTGAAGTTCCAGATGTTTGCTTTCAAGCACAAAAGTCTCTTGGTCAGCCACAGTCTATCGTTTGCACATACAGATAAATTGGAAAGTTAGAAGAGCTTTGCAGACATTAACTAAGAAACTCTAGCTTCAGTGACAGGCATGTTTATCACCTTTCAAATGGCAAGGAAACTGAGGCATGGAGAGCTGTTCTCGAGAGGAACGGGACTGCCATAATTCCCCATTTATAACTGCTAAACATGCTTAATAAGAGATCAATAGTGGCCAAATACATCCAATTAACAGAAGCCCTTAGCAGGTAGAACTGCAGAGCGAACCTATCCTGCACAACCCTGCAATTCAGGCAAACGCTTCAGCCCTGCCACAAGCAACCTGCCAGCAAAATCCCCTTCAGTGTCGGAAAGCTCACTGCTAAAAAAATTACGCGCTGGTTTACTTTGACATCCAAAAGCCTCACACACCTGTAGTGCCGGCCCTCCCCTGGCTTGCAGTCTGCATCCACCCGCAAGACAGAGCGGTGTTAGCTTCCGACAGCTCCCCTCTGCATTCGGTGCTCCAGTCAGGCACAGCGCACTCATGTTGCCTAGCAATAGAGAGGTCTCGTTGCTTTATACGGCCAAAAATGCCGCTTGCTGCAGCAAGCCCCATCCCCAGCATGGGAAATGGGTGCGGACATGTTTAAGATCAGCAGGAGAGCAAGTCTGAGCTCCTTGCAGGCTTCTGAGGTACATTAAGGCAGAGCTGACAACATCCCCTTCTGTGGGGGAGAGCAGAAGATACCTTATCATTTCTGGGCTGAACACGAAACGGAAGAACACAGAGACACTACCGCGCTAAGAATCACACATTTAAAAAAATCCGGCATGCTATTGTCAAATTGTGCACCAGCATCTCATGTTAGTCATGTTTAGGATTCTAAAGCTCAGATTTACTTTCTCGCTATTTGCACCCTGGCTGTTCACCACTTAATTCCATCATCCGAAGTCAGCAACGTCTAGTGGCTGGTGCAGGCAAATACACGTCCGGGTACCAGGGCTCTTGCCCTGGCTCTGTCCACATACTCCTGGAGGGCCTTAGACAAGTAATTTTATCTTTTCTGCCTCCATTCAGCCATGAAAGAGGCTCCGTCAAAGCACGTTTCCCTTAGGATTGCAAAAGCAGCTCAGCTGAGCCCCTGGACTAAAACATCCATCTTCAGGTTATATGCAGGGGAATTTAGCAACACGGACTAACAGGCATTACTGAAAGTGACCCTCCACGCTCACTTCTTCATGTGATCGCAGCAAACCAAAGCAAAGACCAAATCTCCTACCTCTGTTGTGCCTTCTCAGCTCACGGTGCCTGGTGATTAGACTGAAGATGGGAAGATGGATCCCTTGACCAGGAAATGTTTCTGCTGCAAGTCGGTATTACTGCTCAGGCTTTGTGGAGCACTAGCAGCCAGCCTGGTACAAAGATGCCTAGAATCCCACCCATAACTATGAATCTCCTGGGCTTGTATCTCTTTTTGCCCTAGACAGCATGCATTATACAACTGGGCACAGCTATTTGAGTACTGTACTTTGGAGGACACTTACAAGGGCTAAGGGGACCATAGGATGTAATGCAACAGAACAGCCCGTTGCAGGAAAGCAGCCCTGCCACTGCACAGCTCTCCTCCAGCAACGTGACAGCCACATCATTCTCCAATACTAAAACAGAGCAGCAAGTATGCTTTCCACCTACTTCTCTCCAGACCAATTCACACCACAGGCATTCTGCAGTAGCAGGTCTGGCTTCAGGAGGCCTCCTTGCAAACCTGTACCCTTTTTACAGCACACGCAACCTAGCACTGCCTCTCACTGGAAGAGAGGTCTCTACATGTCTTGCTGAACGGTGCTTTGCTTGGACACCTGCCTGGTTACATACGATAGAGCCCAAAGATGTCTTCATAACACTCCTCATTGTAGCATCTACCTCTACTGGAGACAAGGACCAGCTCTTTCACCACGCCTGCCTAACTCCATTTTTGTTTCCCTCTACCTTTTACCTGTTATTTCTCCCAAGAGTACCCTGCCAATGCCTCCTTGGGCTGCATGCAAGTTTATAAACTAAGGAGAAAAAAAAAAAAAACCTCAGCTCCATAACCACCCATAAGCAGAGAGAGAAAGAGAATTAAATAACCACATATTAATGAAATCATACGTTTCCTAGAGGGCCTAAATCTTGCTGAATAAATTTTCAGGACCACACTAAAAGTTTGTCACCTTTGCATCTCAAGAAAGCTGCAGAGAAAATTCTGTCCAGGGCTCTGGTCAGTTTGCAGCTGGGATGCACCACTTCTGCCTGAAAAACGCACTTGTGCTGCAGAAGATACAAGCGATGTGCCATTTCCAACCAAGGCTTTGGAGAGCAGCAGACTCAGCTCTCTACATTACAAAGAGAGTAAACTCGTAACTGCCAAAACATCAGGCCTTGGCCTGAAAGTCCAGAACAGGAGTGGTTACTTTAACCTAAAAGCTGTTCTGAGTCAGAGAGGAACTGCATACAACTCAGCCTTGCTCAGCGCCCTGCATAAAGGCTGAGGGCTTGTTTGTCACAGAAGAAGGCGGAGGGCAGTCTTGCACTCTCCTTTCCCTTCTACTTCTCTTTTGTTACCTCAAGGCAACCCAGAGCAGTGCAACAGAGCTCACCCTGCTTAAGTGGAATAGAACCTACTGCAAACATGCATCAACTTTTCTATTTCCATGGGCCACAGTGTGCACCTGAAGCCTGGACACTTTCTGTAGCATAAGAGATCCACATCTAGCATGCAGCCTTCTCCCAGCTCTCAAGAGTGAGGGAGCAGGAAAGAGTGAGGAGCAGGATAAAGCCCATTCAGGTAGAAAATCCTCTGCGTTGTTACTGCTGTTTAACCAAAAGCACATCTGAGGAGAGCGAGCCCTCAGTGCAGGCCATGAGGAGGCACCAACGCTTCTAAATATATAGACCATCTTCTCTCCCTTTTCCCTCCTTTTCTTCTTTGTTCATTTATTCAGATCAGAAGAACAACGCGTCCTCCTCCCCCAGTGACACGCTGCTGGAAGCAATGCCTCTCCACTGAGAGAGCAGCAGCAGGATCTGGGTCTTCTGTCTGCATTCGCAACATTAAAAGCTTTTGCAGGAGCCTTTTGCTCAATGAAATATTTACTTCCTCCCTCCCAGCATGGAGACAGGGACACTTGGTCAATGAGGACATATGGTCGAAAGGGCTATCCAGTATAAATTACCATGACTGAAAAAGCAAGAAGCAGAGCAGAGGAAGCCTGGTGCTTATCAAAAGTCATCTGTGGCTTATTGAGTTTGCTAACTAGTGCTGCTTCCTTAACCCTTTCAGTGACGCAAGAAAAGGCAAGTTTTCTGGCAACTGCTGCTTTTAAGCTGCAAGTGCTGGAACGTGGCCCTGTAATATCTGAGAACGCTTTAAGCTGGCAATAACTATTACTGTTGTCATCACAGCTGCTCATTCCTGCCTCCATGACGTCACCTCCTTATATCAGACCAGATTAGCAGGGAAAGTATTCCTTTCAACCCATTTTAAACAAATATTCATTTTAACCAATGAATTTTAATTCATTTTAACCAAGATCAACTCCTTGATCACCACACAACTGCACAAACATTTGGGTCTGCGCAAAAGGATAACCAGAAGGCAAGATGCCTCTTCCGGTAGCAATACAGGTTCACGGCAGCCTGAGCCCTCCTGCGTAGGAGCAATCCAAGGGCACAGTTCCACAGTCACTTCAAGCTGGCACATCCACAGGCTAACACGGAAAGGGCACTTTGGTTACCAGTGTTTTCCTGGACATCTGGCAGCTGCCTGACACGTAGAAACTATTACACTGTCAGTCACAACAGCAGGCAGTTATGTGATGAGATGGTCAGACCTTGCACTGGAGACAAGGTTTGCGTAACTGGGCACAAGGAAGCAGCAGAGCAGAGATTTCAATTTTACTTTCCCAAACTCTAAGCACTTTGCCCTCTCCAAGCAGCCAAAACATAGGACTCCACAATACCCACAACAAACACCCATCAAGACCATCACAATGGTCTTATTTAGACCATTCGAGCTTGTCACATTTTAGTTTTCACTGTAGCCCTTCAGTTTTTCTTCACATCAGCTATTCTGTTTGGCATCCAGGAAATACCACGTTAGCTTACCACAAGGTCTCTCCTACCTGTTTGGAGTAGCCCCCATAGATGATTATGCTGCCCTCAGGAGTGGTAGCCATTTGACATCCAGATCTCGGAGCAGGCCCAATCCCTGACGGAGCCAGCTTGCTCCACGTGAAGGAGTCCAGGTTGAAGGCGTACACATCGTTGTAATAGATATAATCTCTAGGGAAAGCAAATTGGCACACCACAGGTTTTTACAACGGCTGTCATTTAGGACAGGATAAAACACCACTTCAGGAACAGCACCAGGAAACTCTGAAGAGGTGCAACAACACCTTATTCAACTCCTTGCGTTTATGGCCTTGCTTCCTCTGCAGCCATAACAATGTGCAGTCTAAGATCTGCTGGGGTGAAGGTTACCGTTGCAGTGCAACAATACACATTTGACAAAGCTGCTTTAAGCAAGATCGCTCCAGGTTTTTTTTTTAATCTATGTTATTCCTTACTACAATAGAGGTTTCAGCCACTCTCTCCAGGAAACACAGTTCCAGGTAATTTAAACCAGAACACAAAAGATCAAAATAGATTAGGGCTATATCTGTCCAAGGGAGAAAAACCAAACAAAACAAAAACACCACCATACTCACGCTCTATTTCAACTAGCAAACTTACATTCTGCTTACACACAGGAAGCTCTGCACAGGCTAAACTCCCAAGTACGCAGCCAGCCCTAGGGTAGGCTTTGAAACTTGTGCTGTGCTCCCAGGGACTGCAGTTACACTGCTTACCACCTCTGAGACAATACGTAGCTCAGCTCTGCTCCCAGCTCCCAGGACAGCATAGCTGTGACCTTCCACGGTACCCAAGAGCCTACTAGGGGAGATGTTCCTAAGAGAGGGCTCTTGACAAGACTCAGAGGCCAAAAATTAATGTCCTGAGCTTTAGCTAGGAGGAGGAGGAACTACTTCAGTAATAAGCTAAGTGGCATAATGGTTTCTTGAACACTGAAAGACTTTAAATCAAGATCATTTCTCTTCTTAAAATAAAATTCTAGTTCAGCTCCAGTACTGCTCAGGATAAGCCTTGCATTAAAGCCCAACTTTCTGTTATGGGTGAAATTCAAATCTCTGTTACAGAGGATTCAGTACCCTCAGCCATCCCGCAGAAACCCACCTTGCGCTCTCATGGAAACCTCCAAAGACAATCAGCTGTCTTTTGCAAGCAACCATTCGATGTCCACTTCTTCCAGAGGGTCCTCCTGATGCCCTGAAAAGCAAAGCAATTCCACTCATCTACAAGGCTCCCCTTCCTGTTAGGGTGCCAGTCCGTTTTCATTTAAGTCATGGGCAGCTGGGCTGACTGAGTTCAGCTTCTCCTCTCCTGGCACAGGAAACTAGGAGGAACTTCTTTACCTTAATACTTATGTATGCATTCCTCCAGAACAGTACGTGTGCTCTTCCTGTATTGCTCGGTATTTACAAGACAGGCATTTTGCAGTTACAGTTTTATTCCTAGTGATAAGCCATCCAGCCTCTAACAGTATCCAAAGTCTTGAAGTCTTTTCTGCCATGACTCAGGAGCTAATTTTTCAGGAGAGTTTAATGAATAGCAGTTAACTCCCACAATTGCAAGAAAGGCACTCTAGACAGAGATGCTTTCTCTAAGTACCAAGTAAGAGCCAGAGTCTGGCTGTGACATTCACTCTTCTTCAATGTCTTAGGAAATCATCTTTCACGCTGTCTTCACTTACCCATCTACAGTTAGGATGTAACGTCAAACTAACAAGAATACTTTGTAAATCACCTACGTTTCCTCAAGAACAAAGGCACTGCAACAGAGCAAGTCATCACTATTATCTTACATATTAAACAAGCAGATATGCATCACTGTTCTGCTCTTGCCAAGCCTTCCTGACCTTTCAGTTAAATGCGCCACTTCCATTTCCAGGAACAAGCCCCAGCACCCCAACTGTCATATCCAAAGCCTCAGGCAAGGCCAGGCAGCTGGCAATGACATTCCCGAGAGGCAATAAAGATCCACCTTCCTTTACGTTCACCCATAGTCAGAGCATCAAATTAGAGACAACAAAAAACCTTCAAGAACTCTACAAACAGAGGTGACTTCAGGCCCAGCACAGCCCACGCAGAAAACAAGGTTTTTCCTTTGTTCTTTGACACCCTGGATTATTCTATCACATTTTCACTCTCACTGAAGAGTCTACCAAACCGCACAGTTAGCACCACCGAACTCAGTAAGACTTCTCAAACAGGCAGTGTTAACATGCTCTAAGGGGTTGCAGAATCAGGGTCTAAATAAATAAGAAACCCACTCACCTCCAGCAAAACTTAAACCCACAACCCTACTGCTACACTTTAACGGGCAGCAGGTAGCTGTAAAGAGCAGTGATAGATTTATGTGGAGAGAGAAAACAAGGGCCCTTGTTCACCATCAAAAATGACCAATCTCACACCAGTCATAATGAGGAACTTCAAGCAGAACAGCAGCATTTGGGTAAGACTGAATTAATATTGATTGCTTGGTCTCTTTATTCTAACAGCGAGTACGGTTTTCTAGGCATTTAGCAGCCCTTTAAGAAGTACCCTGCAGAATAGCACCTCTAGCACTAATTTCATCAAGATCTGAAATCATTACTTTCTTTTGTGTAACAAGGCTTCCACATTATTAGTCCAGGGGATGGAACTTTTTTTTTTTTTTTTAAAGGAAAAGGAGGATTAAATCAGTTCTGAATGATAAAATGTTTATTCATTGATTGGCGTGTTTTAATAAGCGAGCTCCCAGAAGTGAACAATTAACTGTATGTCGCAAATGAAAACATCCAGTCTGGAGCCTGATCCAAATTCAGAGAAGTCTCTTTGGTACCAGCTCCAACTGCTCTCAATTACAAGGCTGTTCTCCCCTTTTCTTAGGGCAGCAGCATAAGCTACCAGACCAGATGCTGAAACATGGTTCCTGGGGGTAGCAGGCCTCATCCTGCACAGCTCTGTATCATCTCAGCTTTTCTTTGCTTTAACATTAAGCATCGAACAGGAATCAGGTCTAAATGACAGTTTATAGCCCCTCTGACACAAAGAGATGCCCACCTAAATTTGCAAAAAACACTCTTAGAAAGTTTTTTTTTTGTTTGTTTGTTTTTTTTACATAGAGCTATACGTAAAGCTGAGATCCTTCTTCCCTTCTCTCCAAATACAGCACTGTAAAAATGCATGACATAGTCCAGCAGGGCTGCAAGTAACGTATAACTGTGCTACCACTCCAGAAGGCACTTGCTGCAAGCTCAAAGCCTTGTTTCCCAAATGCAGATTGCCTCCCTTTACCTGCATCACTGATCAAGGTCCAAAATAAACATTTTGGAAATAGTTTCACAGACTTTATGATTAATACACTACTTCATGGGGTTGACACCAGAAAGCAGACAGGTGGGAGGGAGCTGTAAATTCTCCAGATATTTTTTTTCTTAAATAGATTAAAAGATAAGTCTGGATAAGGACTGGCTCTGCACATGTACAGCATGAGTCTGATCAGAACTGTTCCATAACGAATTTACTGATGCTCGTGGAGTTACTCTGGGACTTATAGTAGCATAACAGACCTGAATTCAGCCCCCAGATTCAAGGATTAATGACTTACATGTCACAGTGGGTGCACAATGCATGAGTTACTTCTCATTCACTCCTTTGTCCAGAGGTTGCTCAGATCAGTCTTGGTACCTTTCCTTAATAACAGAAAGGATGATGCATAGAACAACCCATCAGAGAGGCTTTTCAGGGCAAAGCACTTTCATCCTCCAGTATGTAAGGAAGCTCGAGCCCAGGACTTCAATTTCAAGTCTTACACTTGCAAATGCAAACACACGTTCTGTTCACTGCCACGCACAGATACTGTACCCTTGTGTTCGTATACTCAATTATGAGGCACACAAGAGGCAGGTATCTTGTGCATCCAACATGCAACTTGAACACACAATTGTCACACTAGCACACATCCCCCAAATCAAATCTTTTGCATGTGTCAATCAACTGTTACATGTTTGGATCCTGATTTACCAAAGAACAAGCTCATAAGGGTCACTTCTGGTCTGGCAGGGGAAGTCTGCTCAATGGCACAGCAAATACCCTTCCTCTCTTTAAGCACCAAAGCACCCTTCTACCTTTTAAATAGGACACGAGCAAGAGAAGCCATCAGTCAGAAACGAACCTACGCTGCAAGGCATCCTGTACCGCAGTGACTGCTCCAGTTTACTCTGTAAACAGCATTAAATATACGCTTGTGAAATGCTACTCCGTGATATTTATAGCACCACATCTCACAAAACTGTTAAGAGAAGTATCATGGTACTCATTAGCATTCCAGTACTAAAGGGAAGGGAGCCATAGAGGTTCTTAGGCAAGACAGAAATCTACACAGAGGAGGGATCTGCCAGGTTCCCAAGCGCAACCCCAATGCGTAACGCTCCCGGTCTCTCTTTGAAGGAGAGCACTGGGCCACACAGAGCTGACAAGGAACGGAAGGAAAGAGGCAATTAGGTTAAAACATTACTTAGCTCTAAAGCAAGGTGACAAACAGTTCAGGCACTGAGGCATCACACAAATGGGATGGCGGTTCCAATAAGTCAGCAGAGCTATTTTCTGAGATGTTTTCTAATGGGCTGAGATTTTTTGAGTTTGGCCTGTCACTGGGCATGCAAAATGCAAGCAAGTACAGCTAGTTGTAAGTTTTAAAACCATCAAGCAGCCAGTCGCGTTCAGTAACGATTGGCATCGCTGTGCTCTGTGCTAGGAGATCATGAAGATTCATTTCCCCATCAGCCTTTGCAGAAACACCACAGGGCTGCTCATGGTTTTCTCTTCAAGCATTTTACAGTCAAGAGTCTTATGGCAGCACAACTACCTGTCACATGAACTGTAGGCCAAGAAGGACAACTTAGTTGTTTGAAATCTAAGCTCTAGCACTGGAATAACTAGACTTCCTAGAACTGCAAGTTCAGACCACAGCAGCCAACTCAGCTGCCCACCACACACAGATCAATATAGTCAGACCTGAATTACTGGGTGCATGTGACCTCATGGGACCTATAGAAACAGAAACCTTGCTTCTGCATCCAGGCATTTCTCAAAAGAGCAATTACGCTGTTAATGCATCACGTGCACTAAAACGACATCTCCCAAAGCAAACTGAGTTTTCTCAATACCAGTCTGTACCCTAAATGTGCATCATCAGACATTTACACAGGTAACACTGCGACCGCACTGGACACAAATGGAATTACTGCTTTGACCAAGCCTTATAGCTGCCCACTGTCACCAGTCATCCCAAAAAGTTAACGGCACAATCAGATACTTGACTTCAGATAGACACAAGAAATCTACGTGGGAAAAATGACAGGCAGCAACAGGGACCCTGGTAAGCAAAGTAAAGTACTGAAGGAAGTGAAACGCAACGTGCGTTACGACTATAGTTTTAAAAGCAGTGTAATAAAATCCCTCGTACAACTCAACAATCGTTTCTGCCCTTTCCTCTTCCCCTTCCCCAGCAGACTGTAATCAAGATGCCATATGGAAAAGCAAAGAGGCAGCAGAAACTTGATTTTCACACTCAGTCAGGTTAGCATTAAAACAAAGACATCCCCTCCCAGCCTCCTCTGCCAGATGCCTCATTAATGCAGCTCTTGGAGCTCTGCCTGAAGATGGGGAGGAGATGCACTGTTTTATTCAAACATTGGAACCAGGGCACTGGCATCATAAAAATTC